TTTTCATGCAGATCCACATCCGCACCACCCGCACATGTGTGAACCTAGCCTTAATCCTACAAAATCCTTGACTTTGTGCAACTGTACACAGTGTGCAAGTGTAAGAATTAATGCTAGTTTGAAACCAAAAGGGTAGTCACACCAAATATTGATTGGATTTACTCACTTTGCAAAGTATGCTTTCAAAAATATATATTTTTAATTTATTGTATCAGTTTACAAAAAGCAAAGGTTTTAGGCATATGTGAAGAAGTGATGTACAGTACTGTACACCCAAAAGGGAAAACACGTCGAAGAGGGATACAGACCTCGCATTTTCCTCATTAGAACCCTGCACATGCAGCAGCTGATTGAGAATTATATAATTACTCCCATTCACATTCATTTTGCACATGGATACAAACAAACAGCTTTTTCTTCAGAATAACAAAAAAAATAGGAATCTGCAAGAAGGTTTGTTAAAATCCTTGCAATGTACACAGATCATCTAGTGTGGAATGCTTTTTTCTCAACAAAAGTGGAGTTACTCTTTAATCTTGTATTGTACTATATAAGTATAGACACCCACGCCTCTCTCCTGAAAAAATAAACTTGTTCATAAAAACACATCAATAACCTGCAATGCCTCCACATCAAATTAAACCTAATGCGCTTTTGTATTTTTTTAAAAAGATATTGCTAATGGGTTGTAGGTGGAAGTATGGATGAATACTTACAACAAGATGTTTTTATTACAATGCTTAATGGCTATTAATAAAGCAAAATATTATAAACAGTAAGACAACTGGTATATATAGTATAGTCTGTACCCTAAAAATCCCATGTTTAACTAAAAACAAAAAACAACAGAGCAACGCTTTTGCTGTGATTGGACACAGCAGAAGCCTATCAACAGGTGCCGGGCAATGAATGAGCACTGGCACCCTTTGATTGCCGAGGAGACTGACAGAACACAGCTCTACCTTGGTTACATAGCTGTGTTCTGTCAGTGGCAACCTGCTAGATTTATTTCTCTGATCGCCCTAGTTGTTTAACCCCTTTCCAGTCAGTGTCATTAATACAGTGAGAATGTATATTTTTAGCCCTGATCACTGTATTAGGGTCACTGGTTCCCACAAAGGTCAGTTAGTGTCAGACTGTCTGCTGCAATACCGCAGTCCCGCTATAAGTGGCTGAATGCCGCCAATACTAGTGAAAAGAAAAAAAAAAAAACAACAAGTATATGTGCTGTAGTTTTTAGACAGTATAACTTTTGCACAAACCAATCAATATACACTTACTGAGATTTTGTTTTATTTTTTAACCAAAAATATGTAGTAGAATACATTTTGGCCTAAATTTATGAAGAAATCTTATTTAAATATTTTTATTGGACATATGTTTTATAGCAAATATGTAAAAAAAAAAATGTTCTTTTGTTTTTTTTTTTTTTTTTTCAATTTCGGTCTTTTTACGTTTATAGTGGGGGGGAAAAAAATACATTAAAAATGCAATTTATGTACAGAGTTGCAGGACCGTGCAATTATTAGTTATAGTAACGCAGTGCCATATAGCAAAAAGGGGGGGGTAAATCTTCTGCAGCTGAAGTGGTTAAATAACGTCTCAAAATGAAACAAATGTTTTTGTTCTGTATATGTCTAAATGATATCCTTATTTTCCAACAATAATTGGTACACATTAACTGGTTAAGAGCCATGTAATGCATTTTTTATTAAATCTTCACAGTTTTTTCGCCTCTTTATAAATGTCATGTAACACACTGCTCTATGCACAATCCACATCCTTTGGATCATAGTCCCTGGTCCATCTCAGGCGTAAACAAGAGAAGGTGGTTGCATTCCTACATACAATGAAACCATGGGCAAGGCCTTAAAAAACAATCCTTCCTGGAGAGGATCCAATAGAGTTCAGGATTTGCCTAGGAGAAACTAAATGGATTTATTTGTTGAATACTCTAAAAATAGATGGATTAAATATTGAAATAGATGTAAATTTATTTATTAGCGATAAATTATATTTCATTTTTGTACCTAGTAAAATTTTCCGTATATATCCCTTTTTTTTGCTCTGGATGGGTATTTTCATTGGTATAGTGTGATGATCGATGCATTAGGAGATCAGGTTGTTTATATTTGTGTATTTGCTCATGTTCTCTGGTTATCTTGTTGTCCTCTAATATTATCCTTTTTATATGACAGGTGTAGATGTACTGTAGCTGTGTAAGGATGAGAGGGTTAACCAGATTGAAGAGGAGTTGTCGTGCTGTCCAGCCATCCCCTGGATAAAGCTGTAAGGATAAAATGCATCAGGCGTGGCTAAAAAGCAAACGGAAGTGGTGCTGGTGGTCCCAAAAGTGACGCATCAGGTATTGGACAGCTACTGAACGTTCAGATAGAAGCCCTCTTATGTGTGCACAGACAGGTTCACCACTGGCTTGGAGTTTTATCTGGAGGATAGTTATATGTGAGAATGTGGTTTTATTTATGCGAGTAGCTATTCAGCTTTTAATAAAATTGAGTTTGAAGGATTATACACTATTGGGGTTTTTTGTCTCATATCTCTTATCTTGGGGAGCCTCATTTATAGCATGAGTGTGGAGATGATGAATCAGATGACATATAGAGAGCCACTACTGATATATAAAGTACGATTTTAAGAGAGGCATACTGATCTGGTGAGCTCCAGTGTATAAGGAAGTGGTGGAAACACGAATGCACTGGGTGGAATACATGTGGCCTTATTGGGCTTCAACATTGAAGAATTTGTGTTTGGACTATCATTTGTACATTGGGTGTTTTTAAAGACTTTTTTTATATATTATTTTAGTATTTGTTCACTGTACTGCTTTTTGTTTGGAATTTTTTGTTATATCATATTACAGCTGTGGTGTAGTAGCCCTTACGTGATTAAGCTGAGGAGTTTTTGCGATTAGCATTATTTAATTACTGGTAGTTTCACCACTTATTGTAGTTAGTAGAGATGAGCGAATCGAACTTGGCGAAGTGGAATTCGTTTTAGAAGATTAGGAAAAATTCGATTCGCGCCGAATCCGAAAATTAGCAGACTTCGGATGCGCGAATCGAAATTTTCCAAAAATGGCGGCGACATGTGTGGCGACGGAGCGGGGATCTCTGGGAAGGCGTGCATACAAGGCGCGCTGACCCATAATGCATTCATTCATGACATGTAATCGCATTAGCCAATCAGCAGCCAGCCAGCCAGCACTGTGTAATGGTCGAGCTATAAATTGCGGCCATCTTAGAATTTTCCATTAGCCTCCGGTCATTCAAGAGAGACAGACCTCTCTGTATTAGGGACAGAGTTAGGGCCAGAGAGACTTTAGGGCCACAGAATCGTTACTGAGGGACACAGAATTGTTACTCAGGGACACAGAATTGTTACTGACGGACAGACACAGAATTGTTACTGACGGACAGACACAGAATTGTTACTGACGGACAGACACAGAATTGTTACTGACGGACAGACACAGAATTGTTACTGAGGGACAGACACAGAATTGTTACTGAGGGACACAGAATTGTTACTCAGGGACACAGAATTGTTACTGAGGGACACAGAATTGTTACTCAGGGACAGACACAGAATTGTTACTCAGGGACAGACACAGAATTGTTACTCAGGGACAGACACAGAATTGTTACTCAGGGACAGACACAGAATTGTTACTGAGGGACACAGAATTGTTACTCAGGGACACAGAATTGTTACTCAGGGACACAGAACTGTTACTCAGGGACAGACACAGAATCGTTACTCAGGGACACAGAATCGTTACTCAGGGACACAGATTCGTTACTCAGGGACACAGAATCGTTACTCAGGGACACAGAATCGTTACTCAGGGACACAGAATGTTACTCAGGGACACAGAATTGTTACTCAGGGACACAGAACTGTTTTCAGGGACACAGAATCATTGAATTAAAGAGTATGTCAGACAACACGCAGAGGAGTGGCAGAGGAGGCAATGTTTCAGGAGCAAGCAGACGTGGCAGCAGAGGAAGGGGTCGAGGCAGCACTAGTCGCAGCCAGAGGCCAGTGCTCCCGGTGTCATCCAGCGGTCGTGTCTCCACCGACAACCCTGCCGTCATCGATTGGTTGGCTCGGTCGTCTTCCTCTTCCCAGGTCACCTCTGACACCTACAGCCAACGGTCGGTGGGTACGTCAGACACAACCGTTAGTTGGCATGGCCCGGGAGCAAGCCCACTGAAATCACGTGTCCTCTACCTGCCCCTGTCCTTTGGTGTTTCCCTCACCAAGCGAAGTATCGCATGCTGTGGGCTCAGCCCCACTGTACAGTGAGGAAGAGCTAACAGAGGGCGGTCAGGAACGGGGGGAGACATCCGCCTCTTCAGCAGCCAGGCGAAGAAGTACTGGCGAGGAGAGTGGCTCGGTAGCCGGTGTAGAGACAGGTCTGTCTCCTGACCCACACGCAGCCGAGGGGGCTAGTAGTGAGGCGGAGACCCTAATTGATGATGATGAGGCTGATCGCACTTGGCAGCCTCGTCGTCATCAGGCTATTGCTTCCGCATCATCAGGAGAAGAGGGTGCCAGCTTGGCAGCGAGCAAAACAGTCGGTGGGTTGCCCAGGAGGCAGCAGGGTCACAGCAGTGTCAGTGGAGGCAAACGGCCACGGAGTAGAGCACCAGCTCCACTGCAGCCTACCACCACGGCCAGTAGTGGTGCCGGTGTGCACGGAGGAAGTAGCAGTCAGCCAGTGAGGAGTAGCGGGGGCAAAGTTTCCTACTCGGCGGTGTGGGCAATTTTTCGTCAAGCCGCCCGAGGAAGTAAACGTAGCCGTATGTCGACTATGTGGCCAGAAAGTCAAGCGTGGCCAGGGGGCCCATGTCTCCATCGCCACACTCTGCCATGTGCCACTTTTCAGGTCTCCTCACACTGCTGGTGGGTTCCATTTTGTCATAGGGTGCTGGCAGATTACGGGCCTCCCATTGCTGCTGCCAGGCCCGTAATCTGCCATGGGCCCCTGTACCGCCTCCTCATGCTGCTGCCAGGTCCCGTAGTCTGTCATGGGTCCCTGTACGGGCCTCCCATTGCTGCTGTCTCCATCGCCACACTCTGCCATGTGCCACTTTCAGGTCTCCTCACACTGCTGGTGGGTTCCATTTTGTCATAGGGTGCTGGCAGATTACGGGCCTCCCATTGCTGCTGCCAGGCCCGTAATCTGTCATGGGCCCCTGTACCGCCTCCTCATGCTGCTGCCAGGCCCGTAATCTGTCATGGGTCCCTGTACGGCCTCCCATTGCTGCTGTCTCCATCGCCACACTCTGCCATGTGCCACTTTCAGGTCTCCTCACACTGCTGGTGGGTTCCATTTTGTCATAGGGTGCTGGCAGATTACGGGCCTCCCATTGCTGCTGCCAGGCCCGTAATCTGCCATGGGCCCCTGTACTATACCGCCTCCTCATGCTGCTGCCAGGTCCAGAGTGTCTCATGGGTCCCTGTACGGCCTCCCATTGCTGCTGTCTCCATCGCCACACTCTGCCATGTGCCACTTTCAGGTCTCCTCACACTGCTGGTGGGTTCCATTTTGTCATAGGGTGCTGTATGGCCTCCCATTGCTGCTGCCAGGCCCGTAATCTGCCATGGGCCCCCGTACCCTCCTCCTCATGCTGCTTCCAGGCCCGTAATCTGTCATGGGCCCCTGTACCGCCTCCTCATGCTGCTGCCAGGTCCAGAGTGTGTCATGGGTCCCTGTACGGCCTCCCATTGCTGCTGTCTCCATCGCCACACTCTGCCATGTGCCACTTTCAGGTCTCCTCACACTGCTGGTGGGTTCCATTTTGTCATAGGGTGCTGGCAGATTATGGCCTCCCATTGCTGCTGCCAGGCCCGTAATTGCCATGGGCCCCCGTACCGACTCCTCATGCTGCTGCCAGGCCCGTAATCTGTCATGGGCCCCTGTACCGCCTCCTCATGCTGCTGCCAGGTCCAAAGAGTGTCTCATGGGTCCCTGTACGGCCTCCCATTGCTGCTGTCTCCATCGCCACACTCTGCCATGTGCCACTTTCAGGTCTCCTCACACTGCTGGTGGGTTCCATTTTGTCATAGGGTGCTGGCAGATTACAGGCCTCCCATTGCTGCTGCCAGGCCCGTAATCTGCCATGGGCCCCCGTACCGACTCCACATGCTGCTGCCAGGCCCGTAATCTGTCATGGGCCCCTGTACCGCCTCCTCATGCTGCTGCCAGGTCCAGAGTGTCTCATGGGTCCCTGTACGGCCTCCCATTGCTGCTGTCTCCATCGCCACACTCTGCCATGTGCCACTTTCAGGTCTCCTCACACTGCTGGTGGGTTCCATTTTGTCATAGGGTGCTGGCAGATTACGGGCCTCCCATTGCTGCTGCCAGGCCCGTAATCTGCCATGGGCCCCCGTACCGACTCCTCATGCTGCTTCCAGGCCCGTAATCTGTCATGGGCCCCTGTACCGCCTCCTAATGCTGCTGCCAGGTCCAGAGTGTGTCATGGGTCCCTGTACGGCCTCCCATTGCTGCTGTCTCCATCGCCACACTCTGCCATGTGCCACTTTCAGGTCTCCTCACACTGCTGGTGGGTTCCATTTTGTCATAGGGTGCTGTATGGCCTCCCATTGCTGCTGCCTCCACCGCCACACTGTGGCTCTACACTCTGGTTTTGGCCCCGTGACTGCCCAAATGAGTGAAGTGTGCGGTGATTCTAAGATCGACGGCACTCATCTGCATGTCATACTGACTGACAGTATTATTTCTCTTCCCCAGCAGACTCCAAGGGCATTTAAATTAAAGGTACAGTGTTCTGCACTAATATAAAGGCTCTCTGAAGCCTAGAAACACCCTTTTTAGAAGTTAAATTCGCAGCGAATATATTCGACTCGAATCGAATTTATTCCGCAAATTCGCCGAATCAGCCGAATCGAATTTTTTGAATACTTCGCTCATCTCTAGTAGTTAGCATGGAGTAAGGGGACTCATTTTAGTACATCTCCACAGTGTGTTACATGGAGAAGGACTGTAGCCATCCTTTAACAGGAAGTCTCATTACAGCAGAACAATCAAAGGAATTTAGAGATTTAGAGGAGGCCGAAAACAATAGCAGGTTACTTTTTTAGTTAGGAATACATGATTGAATAGAGTTTAGTGGCACTTAACTTAGCAGCTGTAGCCATGATCCCAGTATCAACATTTGTGGTCAGCGAAGGACTTTCTTCTAGAAGTGATGCAAATGGCTCTACAGACATCCAATCACTTCTACAGGGTGCGGAAGGGGCCCCCCTCCTGCCACTGTTCCCAGACTCTCCGATGCAATAGCCCACAAGCCCCCTTGCCCCACCCCCCCCCATGCCTGGGATTTTGTCTCTTCCAGTTGTAGTTTGTTATGAGTTTTGGTTTGAGCAGATGCTTTTGAGGGCAGAGAAGAGAACTGGGGTCTAATAGATAGACTACCCAAAAAAAGAGTGTAAAAAATACATGTAAATAAAATAAACAACATTTTAACCACTTGCCTTCTTGAGGATTTACCTCCCTTCCTGACCAGGCCACTTTTTGCGTTCTGGGTTTATTTAACGGACGATCGCATGGTCATGCAATGCTGCACCCAAATTAAATTTACGTCCTGTTTTCCCCATGAATTGAGCTTTCTTTCGGTGGTATTTGATCGTGTGTGTTTTATTTTTTGCACTAAGAAAAAAAAAAAAAAAAAAAGGACCGACAATTTCGAGAACCCCCCCCCCCCCCCCAATATTTTTTGCTTTCTGCTATTAAACATGGCCAGTAAGAAGAAGAAAAAAAAATCAAATTTCATCATAAATTTAGTCCAAAATGTATTCTGCTACAGGTCTTTGCTACAAAAATCCCAATACTTGTAAATTAATTGGTTTACCTGAAAGTTATAGTATTTACAAATGGCAGTATAGATACTGGAATTTTTTTTTTTTTTTTTTTTACTAGTAATGGTGGCAATCAACAACTTATAGTGGGACTGCGGTGGACATTCTGACACTGGGGGGAACTGACTTTATGTCACCAATACAGTGATCAGTGCTAAAAAAAAAAAAAAAAAAAAAAAGCACTGACACTGTACTACTGGCACTGGGCAGGAAGGGGTTAACATGAGGGGCAATCAAAGGGTTAACTGTGTGCAGGGAGTGTTTTACTGGGGGGCGGTGTCCTGTGTGCTTCACAGTAATCACACTGCTCTGGATGGCTGTGCTGTGCAGTGTGCCCGAGCTGACAGGGAAGACGCCTGTCAGTAAACAAAACAGTCCTCCTCCCTGTGGGAGATGCTCAGTAATCACTGGGGCGCTGGCGCTGGCGGGTGGTAATCACCGACCAGGACGCGGTGATTGACAGCTGCAGCCACAAATGGCAGCACAAAGAGGGTCGTGCAAGTCCACTACCTGGAAATGCAAAATCATGTATATATACACAGGATTTTGCGCAATCCTTGCCACCCTGTAGCAGTATATCTGCTATAGGGTGGCAGGAAAGCTATGGATGCACATTTAGGTCCTGCACGCATATGTAAAAGGTGATCGCACCACACGTGAGGTATCTTCACCAATGTCAGAGTGAGAGCAACCATTTTAGTGCCGGACCTCCTGTTTAACTCTATACTGGTAACCTCTAAAGGCTTTCAAACCATTGCCTATGGATAAATTTAATATATCATGGTTTTTTTTCCCCATTCCATGGGCACGCATAATTTTAAACCATAAAATGTTCGATATCCATTTACTCGGCGTAACAGCTTTTATATTTTAACAAAAACTGGGTATTATAATTTGTTTATGTTCATTAAAGTGCATCATTTCCCCCAAAAAATGTGTGCTTGATTAAGGATTGTGCAAATATTGTTTGAATAAAAATTGCAAACAGCCACCATTTTTAAGGGCCTCTGCTTTCAAACAATGTATGTTTGGGGGTTCCAAAAGAGAGCAAGAGCGCAAAAAAAAAGAGCGAAAGAGCAAGAAGGTATATGAAAAAAAAATCTATAGATTTACTAAAATTCATGAAAATATGAAACAGGAAGTGAAAATGTGAGCACACCATAAATTAAATTACTTACTGGTGCACAATACAATATGGTATTTGTAGTGAATATAGATTTTGAGTTATTGTTTCACTGGATATATTCACCGTTTCTTAAACTTGTTTGTTGGGTATGTGTGAAGACCTTTTTTCAGTCATTGTTTGACATTTTAATTTAGGATGTACTGTACATTGCCTCTTACAGTCTTCACGAGCTATAAACGATTTAACATTTATAACAAGGACAGTTTCTAGGAATTCTACATAGGTAATCCTATTATCTAGTATGCCACTTATAGAAGCAAGGGCTTTGTTTCAAAATAAGCATTTCCGCACATAAAAGAAACTAAAACAGGAAATAAGTATGCAACATCGCTATCAAAAATAATTCTTTCGCCAGCATAAATAGCACAGATATCTGCACAGCAATCAAGCACATTATTTTTATGCTTCTTTGAAGTAACAAGGATGAGGGAGGAGTAGAAAAACTGTAAGTTGGAAGCAGCGGATGGCTTTCCAGATGTAGACATTGTACTATGGATCACTACAGGATGCTATGGATTGTTCAGTTAAACTGCAGTTATTAAAATAAAAAAAAATTTAAAAAAAAGTTACAGCTGCACTGAAAAGAAACTATAGCTTCAAGTGACATATGAAAAAATGATATGTATTAAATTTAAACCAAACTCTATAAACTAATTTTATCTTTTTGTTAACAGTGGGATTGATTTACTACAGACAAATAGACCATGCGCCCGGCAAGGGCAGTTGCTGCAGAGCTTAGTAAAAGAGGTGCTTTATGAGGAATACCCAGTGTCACGAAATGAAAAAAAAAATACATTTTTACTTGCACACAATTGGATAATGCAGGCCAGCAGAGCTTCTGCTCATTTACTAAACTCTGGAGCAACTGCACTTACAAAGTGCACAGTCCATTTGTATTTAGTATATCAATATGAAAAGTTTAAAGCCCAGTTGAAAGGTCTTTTTTTTTTTTTTAACGCGTTAAATTATGTAGTTAGGTTACACATCACAAATCATAACCAAGCAAGGACATTAGAACGTTCACTGCATTATTCTAAGCCATTAATTTTTTATTTTTTTATATAACAAACATGTTATACTTAACTTCTCTGTGCCAATGGTTTGCACAGAGCAGCCCTGATCCTCCTTTTCTGGGGTCCTCCACTGATGCTCCCGACTCCTCCTGCCTTCCGAGTATCAGCCCAGCAAGCAGCTTGCGGGGGGTGTTTACTCGTGCAGGCTCGCACCCGAGCCCTGCTGCCTGCGTCCACTATAACAGACAGCGTGGCTTGGTCTCTCCCTTCATCATAGGATTTGATTGACAGCAGCAGGAGCCAATGGCTCCCGCTTCTATCAATCCGCCTTGTGAGGCGGGAGAGAGCCGCTGCTCTCCTGCACAGTGCTGGATCAATATTGGGCTTTGGGATGGGGGAATCTTCAATCAAGGTTTTTATTTTACCTTAAATGCATTCTCTGCATGAAGGTAAAAAAAAAAAAAACATTTGAAGGCCTTAGAACCACTTTAATTTACATTTCAACTGACAATGTGTCAGCTGGTAATGCACAAAAAAAAAAAAAAAAAAAAAAAAAAAAAATCAACATTTTTACACATACACTTGAAAGTAAAGCCTTGTTCACACTTAGCATGCCTTCTAGGGATTAACAAGTGCCAAACAGCTTTCTACACACTTCCATGTCTGCCATGCACCATATTGCTCTATACTTACCTGAAGGATGTTTGCATGAATTGTGTGGCCAATCACATAGGGGGTCCATTAAAGTCAGCAAAACACCAGAACTGAATGCTCTTCTGCAACAAACTAGACAAGAGGGTACTTTTTTTTTTTTTAATTTGCTTGTTTTTTTTTTTCCCCAAAAATTTAAGTTATTGTAAGGACTATGTCATATTAACATTTTAGATGTAAAGCATGTCCAAGGTAGTAAAGCCTTGTGCACATAGGGCGTGCTAGAGGGTATGCCCATGCCAGGGCCCCATTTACCCACATGGGGCTGTATGGTGTACAGCCTAAATGCAGACAGACCATTTGCATTCAGGGCTGTGCACCCACATAGATGTCATATTGGGTGCAGTGGCTGTGTCCATGCAGCAGAACCTCACCTGCATGAGCACAGCCCTAGCTCAGGTATACACTCTAATACACCCACTAGTCCTAATTCTTAACCACCTGAAAAATGTGTTTTTACTTGTGAGCCACTGAGAGGTGCTTGCTTATATCTCTATATTTAGTGTGATATAATATATTAGATCGCAGGTTTCCTCGCTCACCCTCACTTGGTGTGCATCAACAGACAAATAATACAATATGGTACCGTGCTCCAATAAATCTTGCAACATTAATATATACCCTTAATTCTGTGAAAAATAATATATATATATATATACACACCATAAATCAAAAATCCATTCATTTATACATTCTATATATTTGCTTGATGATTCAGTGGTGATCTTAAATTATATGTGAGAAAAATCCTTTCTGTAGTGTTGATCTCCCGATGGATACAATATACAGTATACTACGAGGTGTTCTTCCTCTATAGTAAATTGAATAATAGTATACAGTCAGAACTGCACCATGGATCTGTGTGGGCAACGTAATCCTTTACTTCCTCAGCACAGCTGTTTGACAAGATCCTCCTCAGCTAGCTGCTTGATCTTATCCTCCACGAATGGGACATGTAAAAAAGGAAAGATACATAGTGTCTTATCTGGGGTAAGAGGTTTTTAATGTGCGCTG